TACAATATGCTCGCTCTTACGGTGTTCCTCCTTCATGGTCTCCTATTGGGCCTCTCGAATCCGCTCCAATAGGGGAGTCACCACGGTTATCCTCAAACAAATATCTCTGATTGGGCTGCCTTGCGACTAAGTGCATCGGCTACGACATTGGCCTTCCCATGATGGTAGAGGATCTCACAATTGTAATCCTTCACCACATCTAGCCATCGGCGCTGCCTCATATTCAGATTTGGCTGATCCATGAGGTACCTCAAACTCTTATGGTCCGTGTAAATAGTACATCGGAACCCATAGAGGTAATGTCGCCAAATCTTGAGGGCGAAAACAACTGCCCCCAACTCCAAGTCATGCCTCGGATGGTTCACCTCATGAGGCTTCAGCTGCCTCAACGCGTAGGCAATAACATGCCCCCTCTGCATCAATACCGCGCCCAAACCCGAGATGGACACACCACAATACACCAAAAAATCATCCACGCCCTCCGACAGAGCTAAGATTGGCGCCTTGCACAATCTCTGCCTCAGTGCCTCAAATGCGGCCTACTGCTCAGGCTCCCAGGGAAAGACCACAGATTTCCTTGTCAACCGGGTCATAGGCACGACTATCTTGGAGAAGTCCTGAATGAATCTCTGATAGTATCCTGCCAGTCCAAGGAAGCTCTGAATCTTAGATGGAGACCTTGGAACCTCCCATTTCATCATAGCTTCCACTTTGTCCGTGTCGACTGAAATCTCATTCTGGTTGACAATGTGCCCAAGAAACTGCACCTCGCGCAACCAGAACTCACACTTGGAGATCTTGGCATACAAGTTCTCCCTCCTAAGAGTATCCAATACCTCTTGCAAGTGCTCCTCATGTTGATCCCTATCTTGGAATAGAACAAGATGTCATCAATGAAAACTATCATAGACTGATCCAACATCAGTCTACACATGCGGTTCATGAGATCCATGAACGCGACAAGAGCATTAGTGAGCCCAAAAGGCATCACCACGAACTCATAGTAACCATATCACGTCCGAAAAACAATCTTCTGCACATCCTTTTCTCTTACCCTCATCTGATGATAACCCGAACGCAGATCGATCTTGGAGAACCAAGATACTCCCTGAAGCTGGTCAAAGAGGTCATCAATCTTCGGGAGTGGGTAACGGTTCTTCACTGTTACCTTATTCAGCTCCCGGTAATCTATATACATCCGATGCGACCCGTCATTATTTTTCACAAATAGTATTAGGGCTCCCCAGGGTGAACTGCTCGGTTTAATGAATACCTTGTTTAACAGCTCGTATAGCTGTGTAGACAACTCCTACATTTCAGGAGGAGCCAGCCGATACGGTGCCTTGGCTATCAGAGCCGCACCAGGGACTAGGTCGATCCTTAACTCTACCTGCCTCTCTGGAGGTATTCTATGCAGCTCCTATGGAAATACATCTGCGTACTCTCGTACCACCGGCACGCCAGTTACCATTTCCTCGCCCGTCTCCCGGGTATCCAAGACATTGGCGACATACCCTGCGCACCCCTGCTGGAGGTGGCGTCTAGCTTTCGCTGCTGAACATAAAGTTGGTCCACGTTGCGGCCTCTCACCCTAAATCACCAACTCTCCCCCACTTAGGGTCCTGACCCCAACCAACTGTTACACATAGTCGATCACCGCTCCATTGGGGCTCAACCAATCCATGCCTATAATAACATTGTTCCCCCGCAATGGTGTGAGTACCAAGTCTACCAAGTAGCGCTCCTCGAATATTCTCAAAACACAATCCATGAAAACCTCTGATGCTCGCACTGATTGGCCGTCTGTAATATCGACCTCTAGAGGGCAATCTAACATGCTCGAAGTAGGGATGTCAAAAAGTCCCATGGGACCCCGTTCCCATGGGGGCCCCATCCCGTTTGGGGGATTTTTTTTAAAAAAAAAATATGGGGCGGGGGTAGGCAATCCCGTCCCAAAATCCCCATGGGGACCCCGTTAATAAATTACACATATATTTACATATATTAATTATATAAATATAATAAACAATAACATGATTTTGAGCTTCCAAAATTCATCCAAAAACATGTTTTTAAGTTGTTAGCATAATTTTTTAAAATGCCATAACTTTTTTTATTTTTAACATATAAAATTCTGCTATAAATAATTATTTGTTATCTAAAAAATAGCTTCTTGTAGCCTAAATAACAACTTCTTTTAGCAAAAAAAAGTAGCCCAAAATCAATCAGGGGCGGGGGAACGGGGGCGGGGGCGGGGTAATAAAGGGGATTCGGGGGCGGGGGAACGGGGAAGTTTCAGGGGCGGGGGAGGGAGATGTACTCCCTGCCCCGTATGCCCCTGTTGACATCCCTAGCTCGAAGACTCTGGGAACCTCTTGCTAAGCGCAAGAGAGACAAATGATCGGGTAGCACCCAAACCAAACAACACCTGAATTGGGATACCGTTCACATGGAATGATCCTAACAAAACATATAGCATAATATATTAATATCACAAGAAACATATCATAAAAGTTAGAGAGAAGAAACCATACCCGTCACTACATCGAGTGTGGCGCGTGCCTTCTCGGCTGTCAACTGAAAAGCTCGGATCCTCACCACTGGAGTCTCTGACTTGACCTTCCAGCCATCCATAACCCGTGTAGTCGCTAGAATCGGCGCCACCACTGGGGCTGCTGCTACTGTCAATCTAGGGCAATTAACCTTCCCCCCCCCCCTTCTAATTGTAATGAAAGCAAGTCAGGTTTGATGTCTGAACAATGGGGGCAGGGGCAGTACAATCCCTGCCAAAGTGCCCCGTCTTGCCACACTTGTAGCAGCATGATGACCCCGCTCTACAAGCTCCCTCATACGGCCTTTCGCATTTCCTACAGCAGCTCTGGCCCGACTGGCCCTTCAGCTTCATGTCGGATCCCTTGGGTTTCTTCCCCGAAACCCCAATAACCTGCTCCATATCTGCCTTCCTCTTCCTGAGGTGCTCTAAGTCAATATCTCTCTCTCCCTGGCAATCATGGACTCCAGGGTCGAACAAGCTGAGTAGCTGACATGCTTCTGAATATCAGCCATCAACATATCATGATAACGGGTCTTCCACATCTCCTCATGACCTACATACTGAGGTACCAACAAGGCCCTCTCTCGGAACTTAGCGGTGATCTGCGCCACTGACTTCGTAGTTTGTCTTATATCAAGAAACTCCCTGGCTAGTTGATGAAGCTCCACAACTAGCACAAACTCGACCCTAAACTTGGTCACGAAATCCAACCAAGTCATAGCCTCAATGGCTGGGGCTCCCAACGAGTCACCAGCTTACTCCCACCAATCCCTAGCTCTGTATCTCAAACAACCCGCTGCAAAGCTGACCTTCGACCCCTCCAATCAGAAGCTCGTCACCTGCGTAGACTCGATGTCTGTGATCCATCTCCTGGCAGCAATGGGGTCCTTCACCCCGTGAAAGTCTGGTGCGCCACTCCCCCTGAAGTTCGTGAAGGACAATGTGTGCGTACCTGATTGGCTGGATGCTAAGTCACTCTTGAATGTTTGGAGGCGATCCTCCATCAGCTCAATAATCCCCTCCTTGATTTACCGGAAAATGATCGGGGTCGCCTCAAGGATACCTCTCGTGATCTTAGATGCGCTGAACTCGCGTAGCTCATCATCAACCTACTCGGATCCCGCACCCAAGCCTGATCCTGATCCTGACCCAGACCCTAAAACTCCTGCTCGATGTTGCGTAATTGTCATACTGAAATAAAACACATAAACGTCAGGGTCATACATACTCTCGAGAGGTCTCACACACTCTCCAAGTTTCCTGGTTCTATCTTAGCCCTTATTGACTCGAGTATGGATCCTCTGCTTCGAGTAGTACGGGCCCATACTAACTTCCACATCTATCCGTACTTTCATCAAGGATTGCCTCGACTTCACCAAGTCCCTTATACTAATCCCGCTTTCCAATATAATCTCATCCCAGGCTTGTCCTAGGGCACTCTCCGACCTACTCTCCACCATTAGCTGCACAAGGAGTCTCTACCATCTTTCTCTAACTAGCTTGCGAATACTATTACATATTCGTTTACTAGTAAGTTAAAGTTAGTTGGAACCCCTATAAGCACAAAGCAAGCAACATTCGTGCATCGAGTAACCATTACCAATCATAACCTAATCAGGCTACCATACGACTGACTAACCAGCCCTAGCATATAGCTCAATAAACTAATACAACATGCATGTAAGGTATCCTTCCTATATCCTTAGCCCTAGTCTAACATGTAGTTCTCATAATCACATAACATGCATACACGACATCCTCCCTAGATCCTTAGCCCTAGTTTAACATGCAGTTCTCATAATCACATCATATAACATAACATAACATGTATGGGTATCTTGGGGAAAAACTTACTTGAGCTCGACCGGTCGCACACATCACACACCTTGTTCTTTCTCAAAACTCTTATTTTTAAAATTTTAGAAAACTAATTTTCTTGTAAAAATCCTTCAAGCCCTCGATTTGAGTCCAAACACCCCAAAGGTGTGCCTGAATCCCTCAAACCAAGGCTCTGATACCAACTTGTAACATCCCAAAATCGAGACCTAAATTTTTTTGTTTAATTATGCTACTTATAAAAATGATTTACGGACACTACAAATAAAATAACGTTTAGTGGCACAGAAAAAATGCCACTAAAAATCCCCTTGGCAATCAGCAGCACAAAAAAAGTGCCACTATAAGAGTTGCCACTGAAGACCCTTAGTGACACTTTTCAACTGTGTCGCTGCAGCTCTTTTAGGTTTTAATGACACTTTTTTATGTCACTATAGCACATTCGGTTTTTTGGGGCACTATTGTTATGCCACTATATAATTTCTAAAATAAAAGCAATTTTTATGTTTTTAGCTAAACTTTTTTTTTTTTTACTCAAAGCATTTATATTTAAAAACTAGGTCTAATTTTCTTTTATATATAATTTAAATGGAATAAAAAATAAGTAAGATAAAATGCAAAACACAAAGCATTACTTAAATTAAAACTAAACTTGCCTTACAATAATACTCTCAATATTTAAAACAAAAATATCTTCCAAAAGGCTTAATTAGTCTACACATTTGTAGATTGTAACTGCTCAAAACATTAAACTAGTTGAGTCCTAAATTTGAGATGCAACATTATTGAAACGAAGAGCATAGCCTTTTACTTGCATTTGTTCAACACTTAACATTTTGAGTGGATGTTGCTTCAAAGTGATATCGATACTACTTGCCAAAAATCATATTAGAACCACCATCATTGACCACCAACCTAACATCAAAAATAAAAAAAATAAAACCAATTTTTAGTTATGTGAAATTATCTTAACAAAGATAATGTACAAAGTAACAAAGTAGAACTCTACAACTTTGTATTTATCTTGATATGATACAAGATGAAGTTTCATTCAAATAAGAATCCATATAATTATTTATCAAATTATAAAAATACTAGCAAAATAAATTTAAAAAATTTACTTACAATAATAATTAACAACCATCAAGAAAATTATAAAATCTTGTAACGCCCGTAGATCCGGGCTAGTCAATTAGAGACGTTAAGCGTCAAAAATAACTTTTTGATGGAAGATTATTTTGAAGGAATAATCTTAATTAAGTTATAGTATATGTTACAAGGTTTTCGTGCATATAAAGAACGTCGAAATCCGAGTTATAACGAAGAAGTTATGACCTGTCGAAGTTTCGCGACAGAACCGGCACGACACAGCGCGGTGTAAAAAGTGAATTTACGTTAGAGCGATATTCAGCCTTAGCAATATAAATGAAAGTCGTAGAATACGTTAAACCATGAGCGTGCATAAAAAGAACGCCCAAATCTGACTTCGTATGAGGAAGTTATGATTTTTCGAAGTTTCGACTTAGCGGTATGCAGCCCGAATGCTCGATTTGAGACCGAGCGGTTTTTAGCCGAAACAATCTAAATGATAATCGAAGCTCTCGTTAATTGTAGTAAAACGATAAAAAGATAGGCGAAAACGGACGTCGGATGAAGAAGTTATGAATTTATAACGGAATTTTCCTGTCCCGACCTACTAAAAATAAATAATAAAAATAAATTCAAAATTAGCCGACGGAGTCTAAACGAAAGTTGTAGATCGTAGTCTCACCTACGCGGGGATATAAAGAACGTCGAAAACGGAGTTCGTATGAGGAAGATATGAATTTTTGAAGTTTATTAAATATTTTCGATATTTAATTTAAATATAATTCGATATTATCCATGGGGGGAGTCAGCGACTTATCCGTTACGCCCAGCGTAATCTAAGTTACGCCCAGCGTAATTGGCCTTCCAGCCCCTATAAAAGGGTGTCGAGGGCAGCCGAGTAGTTTGCTCATTTCTTCCCGTTTTCTCGCGTTTTTGCATCGTTTTTCGTGCAAGAAACATCCCGAAGCCCCGGTATCATTCCCGAGCCCCGAAGCAAGTCCCGAGGCCCCAAGATCCCGAGAAGTGATTCCCGAGCCGAAGCTCTGCCCGCGAGGAGTCCGGTTTTTGTAAAGATCTTCCAGATCTGCCGAAGAATACTACTTCTACAAGTCGTAGTGTTGTCCGATCATCTTCTAATCAAGTGAGTGTGTGGTTACTTTCTTCTAACGCATAATTATTAAGTATTTAGTATAAAATACGTGTTATGTGTATATTTTGTTGTTATATGCGTGAATGTATATTCACTTTCTTCTATCTCATAGATCTGATTTATTCTCTATGAAATACGTGTTATGTGGGTATGCCTCATCTGTTATGTGGAATAGGTATTGAATGAGAATGTTATACAGGTTTTAAACTATGTATAAAAATATATATTTTTATCTACTAATATGTTGGGTAGAACATGGGTAGATAGTTGATGTGTGATAAACAGATGAGAGGCCCCGATGTTGTTGTTGTTGATCTAGTTATTCAGCGAGTATGGATTAGACCAAGAGGTTAGTTTTAGATCCGGGAGTATGGATCAGGTAAAGAGATAAAACTTGTTATTAGTCCGGGAGTATGGATTAAGACTAAGTTAATTGTCCCTAGTCCGGGAGTATGGATTGGGTACAGTTATTGATCCGGGAGTATGGATCAGATCAGGATTAGGGTATAGTTAATTGTCCTTATTCCGGGAGTATGGATTGGGTACAATTATTGATCCGGGAGTATGGATCAGATCAGGAGGTTAGTTTTAGATCCGTGAGTATGGATCAGGTAGTTTTAGATCCGTGAGTATGGATCAGGTGAAAAAGGTTAGTTTTAGATCCGTGAGTAGGGATCAGGTAAAGAGGAAAATTTTAGATACGAGAGTTTAGATCGTGTCGTTGTGAGGATCGATGGGGTGGGATAAGAGTTGCCTTTATATGGTGAAATTGTACAAGTTTGAATGTTCTATATTTATAAATATATGATATAACATTGTGGGATGAAAACCCTATATGCTCACCAGGCTCCCAAGCCTGACCCACTCAGTTTTCTTTGTATCACAGGTATTAATACGAAGACATATTTCACAGAGAGATTTAAAGGAGATATAAATCAATTGTGTAATTAAATGTAAGTTCTGTTTATGCTTATATGTCTGTATCGGAACATGACATCCCGAGGTGTTATTATTAAATGAAAATACATTCTCTTTGAGAAATGTTTTGATAAGTTATTATCTTATCTTGTTTTGGGAACAAATTTCGCAACCATTTTCTTTAAAAGATTACTCTGATTTTATAAAACAAAGCATAAACAAATCGGTCTTTTCTGGCCGTAAAAATAGGGATGTCACAGTTGGTATCAGAGCATTAGTTTAAGCGAACTAGGAATTTGTAGGAAATTTCTAGACTTAAACTTAGAATGCTAAGTAATGATTGTGAGGAGTGTGTCTAAAATATGTTAGGTAGTACACCTAAATTGACACAAGCACTAGTTTATTTTAGGAATAATGCCTAAAATGCTTTTATGTGCTAAATGTTTTGTGTGATAGCTATATTGATGCTATTATTTGTTCGGATCTATGGTCTGTTGCCGACCGGATCTGGAGACCTTACGTGTTTAGGATTCTAAGCGTACGACAACGATATTAGAACTAGCATGTAAACGTTTCGGATTAGTAAGGATGATTTAATTATCTATCGTGATTGAGGATCTGAATTCACCTTATTTGGTGTGTAGATCAAAAATGGTAAGAACCAGAAGTGGAGTTGGAAATGTGAACGAAGACAGGAATCAACCACCTGTGGTTGAGCAAGCACTTGTTGTAGCAGCAGCACCAGAGCCAATGACGATGGCTGGGGTGCAAGCGATGATACAGATGATGTTGGATCGCCAAATGGAGGAGACAAGGCGATTACTCCAACAGAATCGTGAGGAAGTGTCACTTCAAGTGGAAGAGCCTGAAGTGAATGGAGGGCATTCGGAGGGAGGTAACTACAGTGGGACGATTGGACGAGCAGAACCCCCAGTGGTAGAAAGGAATGACCCGAAAAGGGAAATAAACAGGGATGGGCGTATGTATAAGAATTTCTTGTGCGCCAAACCCCCAAGTCTTTCTGGGAGCCCAAAGCCTGTAGAGATTATGGACTGGATCTTCCAAATGGAGATGGTGTTTGAAAGTTGCGACTGTAGCAACAAACAGAAGACTATCTTTGCAGTTAGACAACTGAAGACTGGAGTCTTGAGCTGGTGGAAGCTACTGGCAGATACGATGCCCCAAGGGGAAGCACTAAGGATGTCTTGGGAATCATTCCTTGAGCAGTTAAAGATGTAGTACTGCTCAGAGATAGATTTGATTGATCTGAACAATGAATTCCAGAACCTGAAGAAAGGTAAATTGAGCATTGATGATTATGCTATGGCATTTACCGAAAAGTTGAAGTTATTTCCATACTTAGTGCCAACTGAACTCTCAAAAATCGAGAGGTTCGCAAATGGACTGCCTGTCGACTTTGGTCCAACGGTCAAGATGGCAACTACTTTGAAGACAGCAATCCGAGTAGCTAGAAATGTGGAGACCCAGTTAAAGGAAAGGGGTCTGGAGAGAATCGAGGTGGGCAAGAAAAGAAAGATCGAAGGATCTTCAAAGTCCGATGAGAAGAGAAAATTTTCGAAGTCTGATTCGAAGAAGCTCGAAGAAGGAGCACAATGGTGTGACAAGTGCAAAAGGAAGCACATTGGGGAATGCTCTAAGGAAATGACCTGATTCAAATGCGGGAAGACTGGTCATTACGCCAGCAAATGCCCAAACAAAAGAGAAGCCTGCTTTAAGTGTGGTGAAGAAGGACACTTCAAGCAAAACTGCCCAAGAAGAGAAGAGGCTATAAAGCCAAATGCACCACCAAAGCCAAGAGCATTCCACATGATCCTCGATGAAGCAGAAAACAATGCGAGGATTCAAGGATGAAGACTTCATGTCAATATATAAAGTCTGTATCAGGAAGTGTAGCCTACTAGAGGCGTAGTATAGGGTGAACTTGAACTTTTGTGTAATCGTTTCAAGGAATTAATATAAACCCTAGTTTTGCTAACTGATGTGTTGAATGATTGTCTGATTTTCTTGTATGGTGACTTGGTCGACTAAGGGACAATACCTGGGACGAGTATGAGTAGGTGTGAAAGGTCATAGATGCATATACTACCGGAAGCACAGGACTCGCACTTGGATCAGGGAAAGTCACAAGGTTACCAAGAAGCTAGTGATTGATTCCATTTTTATTCTGGTATGTCATTACCATTGTTTCGGTAATGACTAGTAATATGGTTCTTGTTCCGACCCTAGTGGTCATATTTAAATTTGAGTTCGACTACGAGGAGTATGTTACGTGGTCTAGAGGACCAAGTTAGATGTAACATCTGACTTAAGTCAGAAGGTTGAAGTTAATGCGATTGATAGTGTCGCGCTCGTTGTTAAAAGAAGTTTGCAGGTAGAAATGCTACATGCTGAAATGTGATTATATCACATTAGAATATGAAGAAAGGTATATTCCATCCTGGAATTTAACTTCATTAAAGACCGAGTCTAAGCGTCGCATCGTGCGATGAGAGGTCAATAGAGCACGACCCATCGATTTGTTACAATAGATAAATGAAAGTAATTATCTTGAGAAGAAGAAGGAGTCCACAATAAGGACTTATCTGGTAACTTGAAGGTTACGATTGAAAGTACAACATAGTACGATAAGCAGATGCAAGATTGGGCATCTTCTGCGATCAAGAAAGCCATAGAGTTAAATACTCTTTCGAGGAAACATAGAAGTTACGGTTATTACCTAGGATGAATAAATAACGTGTGGAATCATTATGCAAGTCCTATTTCGTTGATGATTCCGGGACGTAATCATCCTAAGGGGGAGATAATTGTAACGCCCGTAGATCCGGGCTAGTCAATTAGAGACGTTAAGCGTCAAAAATGACTTTTTGATGGAAGATTATTTTGAAGGAATAATCTTAATTAAGTTATAGTATATGTTACAAGGTTTCCGTGCATATAAAGAACGCCGAAATCCGAGTTATAACGAAGAAGTTATGACCTGTCGAAGTTTCGCGACAGAACCGGCACGACACAGCGCGACGTAAAAAGTGAATTTACGTTAGAGCGATATTTAGCCTTAGCAATCTAAATGAAAGTCGTAGAATACGTTAAACCATGAGCGTGCATAAAAAGAACGCCCAAATCTGACTTCGTATGAGGAAGTTATGATTTTTCGAAGTTTCGACTTAGCGGTATGCAGCCCGAATGCTCGATTTGAGACCGAGCGGTTTTTAGCCGAAACAATCTAAATGAGAATCGAAGGTCTCGTTAATTGTAGTAAAACGATAAAAAGATAGGCGAAAACGGACGTCGGATGAAGAAGTTATGAATTTATAACGGAATTTTCTTGTCCCGGCCTACTAAAAATAAATAATAAAAATAAATTCAAAATTAGCCGACGGAGTCTAAACGAAAGTTGTAGATCGTAGTCTCACCTACGCGGGATATAAAGAACGTCGAAAACGGAGTTCGTATGAGGAAGATATGAATTTTTGAAGTTTATTAAATATTTTCGATATTTAATTTAAATATATTCGATATTATCCATGGGGGGAGTCAGCGACTTATCCGTTACGCCCAGCGTAATCTAAGTTACGCCCAGCGTAAATGGCCTTCCAGCCCCTATAAAAGGGTGTCGAGGGCAGCCGAGTAGTTTGCTCATTTCTTCCCGTTTTCTCGCGTTTTTGCATCGTTTTTCGTGCAAGAAACATCCCGAAGCCCCGGTATCATTCCCGAGCCCCGAAGCAAGTCCCGAGGCCCCGAAGATCCCGAGAAGTGCGATTCCCGAGCCGAAGCTCTGCCCGCGAGGAGTCCGGTTTTTGTAAAGATCTTCCAGATCTGCCGAAGAATACTACTTCTACAAGTCGTAGTGTTGTCCGATCATCTTCTAATCAAGTGAGTGTGTGGTTACTTTCTTCTAACGCATAATTATTAAGTATTTAGTATAAAATACGTGTTATGTGTATATTTTGTTGTTATATGCGTGAATGTATATTCACTTTCTTCTATCTCATAGATCTGATTTATTCTCTATGAAATACGTGTTATGTGGGTATGCCTCATCTGTTATGTGGAATAGGTATTGAATGAGAATGTTATACAGGTTTTAAACTATGTATAAAAATATATATTTTTATCTACTAATATGTTGGGTAGAACATGGGTAGATAGTTGATGTGTGATAAACAGATGAGAGGCCCCGATGTTGTTGTTGTTGATCTAGTTATTCAGCGAGTATGGATTAGACCAAGAGGTTAGTTTTAGATCCGGGAGTATGGATCAGGTAAAGAGATAAAACTTGTTATTAGTCCGGGAGTATGGATTAAGACTAAGTTAATTGTCCCTAGTCCGGGAGTATGGATTGGGTACAGTTATTGATCCGGGAGTATGGATCAGATCAGGATTAGGGTATAGTTAATTGTCCTTATTCCGGGAGTATGGATTGGGTACAATTATTGATCCGGGAGTATGGATCAGATCAGGAGGTTAGTTTTAGATCCGTGAGTATGGATCAGGTAGTTTTAGATCCGTGAGTATGGATCAGGTGAAAAGGTTAGTTTTAGATCCGTGAGTAGGGATCAGGTAAAGAGGAAAATTTTAGATACGAGAGTTTAGATCGTGTCGTTGTGAGGATCGATGGGGTGGGATAAGAGTTGCCTTTATATGGTGAAATTGTACAAGTTTGAATGTTCTATATTTATAAATATATGATATAACATTGTGGGATGAAAACCCTATATGCTCACCAGGCTCCCAAGCCTGACCCACTCAGTTTTCTTTGTATCACAGGTATTAATACGAAGACATATTTCACATAGAGATTTAAAGGAGATATAAATCAATTGTGTAATTAAATGTAAGTTCTGTTTATGCTTATATGTCTGTATCGGAACATGACATCCCGATGTTTTATTATTAAATGAAAATACATTCTCTTTGAGAAATGTTTTGATAAGTTATTATCTTATCTTGTTTTGGGAACAATTTCCGCAACCATTTTCTTTAAAAGATTACTCTGATTTTATAAAACAAAGCATAAACAAATCGGTCCTGGCCGTAAAAATGGGGATGTCACAAATCTCACTATGAAGAATGGTGAAGTCTAGTAATGACAGGAAATTCAAGCAAATTCATACCGGTTTCATTGCCAAACAAGTTAGATGAACTTTTCTTTGCCAAGTTTGAATTATCATATCTTGTGCCTACTACCTCCCAAGCTCTTGAAATAAGTCTGCACAGTTCCAACCAAAAGAAAAGAGGACAAATTAATACATGAAATCTGAACCTCCATTTTAATCTTTGACTTCACATATACATGTTCATGTTCAACACACACGAAGTTGTATTACAAGACATAATCATCTAAATAAATAGGTAAGCATTGTTGAAAACATATCTCACTAATAGGGAAACATACAATTTTCAAAGAGAGATACATGGGATTAAGCAATGCCAGCAAACAATGTCTCCTTTCCTCTGGGATATAATCAATCTTTTTCTTGGTCATCACATACATATCAAGGTTTTGATTTCCAGGCTATGACTGTAATAACATAAACAAGCCAACACTCCAATCACATAAACTTCAATTAAAACCAAAATGCATAAGCCTTTCATGTAAGTGGAATTTCATAGGTACAATTTTTTCAAGAATTTTTGAAGATTTCCTCATGCTAGGAACTGTAATCTCACGATATATAGATTGGAACCATATCAATACTAGTTAAAATATTAACTGAATGAGGTCCAACCCCTAATCCATATCTTGATTTTGATGCCCTATGTGTAGGCAAATGATCGAACATGTAGAATACAATCTTGTTAAACATAATTTGATGTGGTAAGTAAAAACATAGAAATACAAAATTCTATCAAACAATGTCTAAAGTGAAGCATGGAGTAATACCAGAGATAAGTAGCGGGGTTGTAAGAAGATGGATATAAAGGAATAAGTTGCTTGGGTGGATCGAGAAACGACACCATGTCTCGCTCGTCGTAGTAAGCTATTTCCCCACTAGGTAGTACTCGGTAAGGTTTATCATCCCAGGGAGATACATGCATTGAAGAAGACTCCTCCGTGCTAGCCCTCCTCTTCCTCTCAGTGCTACCACTTATCGACAAGTGTTTCACTCCTCTCCCTACATCAAATTAACCGCACCAACTTTAACATCAAACTCAAGGTCAGATGCCAAACCTTATCATAATCATCAAACTTTATTATGATAGTTTACCATTATTTCTTAGATAAAAATTAATTTTATACCTGAGTCATAGATTCCTGGGTAGATAACGATGACAAGAAGTGGAATCAGACAGCGGTGGCGAGTTGTGGAGGTTGAGCAGTGGCGATTTAAAGGATATCATCGGGCTCAATAGCGACGAAGATTCGGGATTTAGGGCATGGGTGGGAAACTGTGACTTGAGTGCGTGAGAGGTAATTAGAAGGGTAAGTTTGAAATTGAAAAGCTTAAAGTCTCGTAATCTGTTAACTTCATAAAAATCTCAAATACAGGGGGAAATTTTCAATATGAGGGAAACAAAGTGTGGCGGGTCTTACTAATTTTTGGTAAAAACGTTTCCCGCTAGCAACAAATTATAATAACATCCATTTTGTGCCACTAAAAGAATACTATAGTGGCACAAAAGAAATATGTCTCTAAAAATTTATGCCACTAAATGTCATTTACTTTGTAGTGGGAAAACATCGGTGTTATCATTTCAAAACATCAAGTCACAAATCACAAGTCTCAAAAACCATAACATAAATTAGAAAAATGTCATAGTACAATCCCAGTGTTCTCAAAGCGGAAAATCATGTGTGTGCCATACTTGCTACCCTACCGACTCCTTTCCCTTAGTTGAAGAGGTACCTGAAACCAAAATAAAAGTTTTAAGCACGAAGATTAGTGAGTTACCCTATCATACTACATACCATACAAAATACATATTGCCAGACAATTATGGGGTGCCCAACCTACCCGTGTCAAGCCATTACTGGGTGCTGACCTACCCATGTCAAGCCATTATGGTGTGTTGACTTACTCGTGTCAGGCTATTCTGGGGTGCTTGCCTACCCACCGGTCTATCTCACCCGGTCACGGGGCTATTTGTCACACCCCGATCGAGGGCTATTTGGGAAATCGTCGGGGTTGCGACGTTATACAATTGGATCACAGTCAACCACATATATCGAATACATAATATATTTGAATCAATAATTTACAAACCTTTAAGTTTCAGAATTGAAATTACATCTTCATATTAAACACACAACGGTAAACAAGTTAAGTCTATTCCCAAAAGAAAGGAACTATAATTTTCTTAGAACCGATGTCCTACCTCCGACTTCTTAGTTACCTAAGAATACACATTTTTAAAATACGTCAACAAAAATTGTTGGTGAGTTCAACAGGTTTTGACTTCGTGAGCTTTATAAAAAGAAATCTTTATAAAACGTGGAATGTTTAACAAAATAAGTTGTGCAAAACATGGTCAACAATGTTACCGATAAGCTTGTGTGAGACCTGATACTTGAAATCCGATACGAGTATCCATGTAAAAATATTTATGATAAAAGTAAATATTAACATATTTTTGTGGAGCAAAATATTAAGTATTTATATAAATAAATACTACCAATCGGTTTAACAATCTACAAACATTATGTATACTACATACTCTCTTTGTAAAACGTGAAATGTTTAACAAAATATGTTGGGCAAAACATGATCAACAATGTTACTGAGACCGGATACTTGAAATCTTACAAGTATTCATGTTAAAATACTTATGATAAAAGTAAATATTAACATATTTTTGTGAAGCAAAATATTTAGTGTTTGTATAAGTAGACACTAACAATATATTTAGCAATCTACAAACAATATTTATACTACATACAAACTCATCATAGTTTGTATTAGTATATTTGTATCCCTGATGTTGTTATAATTCTCAATTGTTTGAGTTTGAAGACTTTTTGTTGTAATGCTTAATAATATAAAGCTACCAAAGTTCTATCGGGACAACGGTCGTATGTGTCCCTTATACGATCGGGACAACGGTCGTATGTGTCCCAATACGAGTTTAAACAGTACGTCGACTGTAAGTGACCATAACAATTGTTTAGACAGTACTCCGACTGTAAGTGACCATATATATGTTTAGACAGTACTCCGACTGTAAGTGAATAACAAAGTTTATACAGCACCCCGACTGTGAGTGACCAAAATCGACATAGTCCAAATCATCACATCTTATGAGATTTTCAACATGATCATATTAGAAATACTTGTTATAATTTACACTTTTGTAACTATTAAAGTATGTGTGAACTAAACAATATCATAATCGGTGTACTTCTTATTTATCACAACACTTTGTATATATATTTGAAAGTCCAAACAGCAAGATAAATCAAAAAGGGCAATTCTGTCCATGTTTTTAGAAAAATCATATAAAAATTATCATAAGTCGAAATCTGGATCCGTAAACTCTCAAAGTTTAGAAAATGAGTCTAATTTGTCCATAATTTTTATCCTAAGCTTAAGTGGTTCCTAACCTGAGTGAAAATACTCATTTTTACAGACAGGTCCGAAAATGTTCTGAAATGATAAACAGTTTTGTAAAAATCATTATAAATTGTAGAAAAATCGTATGAACATGTGAGAGTAGTCCTTAGAAAGGTATTAACATGAACTACTTCCATATTGTACAGTTTTGAAATCCATTGAGTTTAAGGAGGGAAAAACAGTCTGTGAACAGACCATAACTTTACTGTGAAAAGCTGAAATTTGAGCTTAAGTATGTTTAGTGACATAACTTGTATTTTTAGTTAGTAAAGCCTTTAAATATTTCAACTATAACTTGTTTAGTGTTTATTCTCCCCCAAAACTTGTAAAACATAAAAGAGGGGCCGTAGAAAACTCACTTTTGTCGCGTAGAGTTATTTGGGTTGAGAATGGTTTGTGCGGTTTCTGGTTCCACTCAAGCTTGTGATTCGAGTATTCTTTTGGATGTCTTAACACATAAAGACATATATTTACATGTGTGTTAGACTTTTATCATGTATTAAATCATTTTAAATCAGTGGGTTTGATGATAAAAAGAAAAAGTAGAAATCATGAATATACCTAGCCTCAACTTGGATTAAAAGTATGTTGCCAAAAGGTGGTGGAATAACACAAGCTTTTTGAGAGGTAAAGGGTAACTTTCTCAGGGGTTTTAAGTGTTTGAAAGTAGCTACATATGCTCTACTTTGAATCTCAAAAATGGGCAGAAAAATGGAGGACTTTTGGGTGTTAGTTTGATGCTCGAAAACAACTACTGTTTTGGCTATGTTGCTGTCACGAAAATTTCACAGCAAAAGGGTAAGATAAGAATAGTTTAGCCACTGATTTGAGTCCCTAATTTAGAGTAGCAAAACAACTAACTCCCAGAGGTATTTGTTGGTGAAAATATCAAGGAAAAGGAAGGTGTAGATGGGTGAAATGGTGGCTGAAACACCAAGGGACAGCAGCCCCTTTAAGGTTCACGGTTTTGTGGAGTTGGAAGGAAATTTGTGTGGTTGAAAATGGGATGAACTTTGGAGCTTTTCCCTGGATTATTTGCTGGAGAATGGAAGGAGAAATGAGGAGATATTTCCAGATTATGAATGAGGAGAGAGGATAAGAAGAGAAGAAGATAAGATGGAATCAATTAGGCTAGATTGTGATGGAATGGGTAAATGATGAGATTTGATCTCCTAGCCCACTTGGTCTCCTAGTTGGTTAAAGATAGAATTAGTTAACCAACTAACTATTAGTTACTTAGTTATTTAGAGGTTCTAGTCATGGAGATGGAAGATGTTAATCTCGAAAATTAGAAGAGGGATTAAGAAGTATTCTTAGTAAAATCTCTTAAGTGATTAAGCACTTATTAGTTAAGTTGGCACTTATGTAAACCATTTCTCTTATCTTAATTGATTTAGTCATCATATTCCTTATATAAAATCACTTTAAGTCATAACCCATAACTACTCATCTACTAGATAATAATACATATGTACAAATACATACATGTATACTTAGTATAAAATAACAATGTAGTTTTTGTGTATTTGAACTTAAATGTTTATGTTTTATTATTTTTATTCAAAAACACTTAAATACATTCTAATTATACCTTATAATAATTCATTTTATATTTTTATTTATTTAAATATAAAATTTATTGACCAATGTATAATTTCGCGACATTTAACCGGTTAACGGTATCGTTAAACACGTTTTGTCACTTCGGTTCGTATATTTGTCAAATTTAGATCCTTCACAACTACTAAGCACAAGTTTTACACAAAATTTAACTTACTCATCAACTAGAGACATGTTGATACAAAAATTAAGTTTGTTGTATTCAAATGACGTTATATGCTAATTTTCACAAACCAGTGATGGTTCGTAGTCATACATCGTAACGAAATTTATCATGAGTTACTTGTTTTATATTTCACAAGAACTTATCAAATTTAAAATATGTTAAATTCCTTCAACCAATTTTGGTAAAATATATATATTGCATAATAATCAAAACATCACATTGTACGATCGTTCATATTTTTACCAATTGTTACATTCTCCCACGTTAAAAGAATTTCGCCCGAAATTCAACTTGTAGATGGATATCACTAAACAATTGGGGGTATTTATTTT